AATGATATATATGATCTTGTTAAACTTTCAAAAGAAAGAAGACCGTTAAAAAATAAATGGGTGTTCAAGTTAAAAAAAGATTGTGACAAACTAGTGAGGTACAAAGCTTGATTGGTGGTAAAAAGTTTTTCTCAAAAACTTGGCATCGATTTTAATGAGATCTTTTCTCCAATTGTGAAGATGAGTTCCATTTGAGTGGTACTAAGATTAGCAGTTAATTTGAATCTTGAGCTTAAGCAACTTGATGTTAAGATTGATTTTTTGCATAGTGACTTACAAAAGGACATTTGTATGGATCAGTTTGAGGGTTTTAAAGTGAAAAAAAATAGTATTTAGTTTACAAATTGAAGAAAAGCTTATATAACTTGAAATAAGGTCCGTGATAATGGTACAAAAAATTTAATTTTTTTATGGTGAGCTATAGTTATAAAAGAACGACAATAAATTTTTGTGTGTCTGTCAAAAAATTTCCTAATGATAACTTCATTATTATCTTATTATATGTTAATTATATATTGATTATAGGATAAAATGCTGGTATGGTTCACAGGTTGAAAGAATAATTGTCTAAGTCTTTTGACATAAAGGATTAAGGTCCAGCAAAGCAGATTCTCAGTATGGATATTAATTGGGATAGGAGAGCTGGAAAGCTATAGTTATCATAGGAAAAGGATATTGGACGGGTGCTTAGTAGATTCAATATACAACATATTGAGTCAGTTAGCAGTCCATTTGTCAACCATTTTCATTTAAGAAAAAAATCTTGTTTGGTGACTAAAAAAGAACAACTAGCTATGTCTAGTATTTCTTATTTTTCTACAATTAGTTTTTTGATATATTTTATGGTTTACACACAACCTAACATTGCTCATGCAGTTGGTGCAGTGAGCAAATTTTTTTAATCCAAAAAAAGTTCATTGGAAAGTAGTGAAATAGATTTTTAGATATTTGAAGGGCAATTCAAAATTGTGCTTGAGTTATGGAGTTTTACAACAAGTTCTAGAAGGGTTTACTAGTACTAACATGGTAGGTGATCTTGATGGTAAAAAATCTATTTCAGGGTATTTGTTCACTTTTGCAGGAGGAGCTGTGTCTTAGTAGTCTAAATTACAAAAGTGTATTACATTGTCAACTGCAGAGGCTAAGTATATTGCAGCAATCGAAACAAGTAACGAAATGCTTTGGATGAAATATTTTCTTCTTGAATTAGGGTTAAATCAAAAAAAGTATATGATATTTTGTGATAACTAGAATACTTTAGATTTGAGTAAGAATGCCATGTACCATGCTAGAACAAAGCACATTGATGTTAGATATCACTGGTTACGTTTAGTTATTGAGAAACAACAGATGTTGTTGAAAGAAGTCTATACTGATGAGAATGCAGTAGATATATTGATTAAGATACTTTTCAGAAGAAAGCTTAAGCTTTACAGTAATTTGGCCGAAATGGATTCCTTGGTCAAAGTAGGTTCCAAATGAAACTCCTATGGTGATTAATCTCCTCCTAATAGGGCCGGAAGGGGAGATTGTTGAGAAATGTGGGGTTTAGCCCCATGCCATTGGTTTTGGCCAGTTAAAAGGCCTAAAGCTTTTTTGTCTTTGACTTAAGAAAACCCTACTTAATAAAAAAAAGAGGGGGGCTATATTTTAAGGTGAGAAAGTGTGGTGGCACTGAAAAGAAGGAAAATAGAAAAGTTAGAAAAGATAAAGAGAAAAAAGGGAAAGGGAGAGTTAGCTAAATGGAAGTCAATCCATGATCCAATTGAGCTAAAATTTTGTTAGCAGATTTATAATTCAGAGTTCTTTATTCTGAACGATGAAGATCGAGTTTGAAGCTCTCTATGAATAAATCTAGAGTGTATTCGTTGAGTTAATTATTTGGTGAAATTTTTTTAATTGTCTATTTAGTTATTGATTAGCTCCAATTTTAGTTAGAGGAGAACTTTATATATCCATTATTTGATAATGAGGATTTTTCTAGTGGTCCGTAGTTTTTTCCATCTACACTGAAAGGTTTTTTCACTTAAATATTGGTGTGCTTTATTTTTCCTATGTTGTTGGTTGTTGATTATTGATTATTGTCTATTGCTGTGGGTTTATTGCGATATATTACTTTTGGGATGTTGTGTTTATTGTTTCAGGCCCAACAGTCCCAACTTTCTTTTGTGATCTTGGCCTGAAATTCTCTGTGAATGGCATCCATTATCCCTCCAGATTTGTACTATCTCCCCATCTCCAATTCTCCACCATACTCCCTGTTGAAGGATTAGTGATGGGGAGTTTCCCAGTTTAGAATCCAAGAAAGGTTCATTAGGAAAGTATCCGGATTTTAATCCCCTATGTAGTAAGGTATCTTTATTAACCAGTAGCTTCCACCCTTGTTTGGTTAGGAGAGCTTTGTTAAAAATTCCTGTCTCTAAAACCTATTCCACCTTCTCTCTTTGGCCTGCATAATTGCTTCCATCGAACCCAGTGTATCGCTTTTTGTTGTTTCCCATGTCCCCACCAAAAGTTGCTCAACAAGTTGTTCATTTCTTAACACAAAGACCATGGCAATAGAAAGCAGCTCATCGTGTAAGTGGGGATGGCTTGGAGAATGGATTCTATGAATACTTCTTTGCCCCCTTATGACAACGATCTGTGACTCCATCCACTCAATCATGAATGAATTCTGTCTTTTACCTCCTTAAAAGTTCTTTTACAATCCCTGCCAACCATCGATGCGAGTCCCAGTTATCGCTCCAAGTTGGTTGTGGATTGAATTCCAAACATGTCTTTGATAATGTGCCTATGCTCCTCTACCATGTTTTTGCTAAAATATAAGGTCGACTTGTCGAAATTTATCTGTTGTTCTGAGCTTTCTTCATATTTCTGCAGCACGCACTTCATCCTCTCACTTTTACTTCTGTTTGCTATTTCAAACTGGATGTCATCAACAAAGAAGAAGTGATTCACTTTTGGAACAGGTCTACTTGCCCTCACTTCCTGTACGAGTCCCTGCTTTTGCTTGTCATTTAACATTGCTGCTAAACCTTTTGTGCACATCTGGAATAGGTAAACCGAGAGAGGGTCTCCTTGACGAAGTCCTTTTTCTGGATGGAACACATGACTGGTATCACCATTAATCACAAGGGAATATGTAACCGAAGCACCATAATTCATTGTAATTTTGATCCATCTTGGATGGAAGCCCATTTTTCCCATAATCGCTTCAAGATAACTCCACTCAACACGATTTTAGACCTTGCTCATATCCAATTTTAAAGCAAAACAATCATTCTTACCTTTTTTTCTAGTTCTCTAAGTGTGAAGCAATTCATAAGCAACTAGGACATTATCAGAAGTAAGACTACCCAGGACAAAAGCATTCTAAGACTCACTAATGCAAGCTAGTAATATGGTTTTAAGCCTATTCATCAAGACTTTCTTGATAATCTTATAAATGACATTACAAAGACAGAAAGGCCTATATTATGTTATTTTGGTGGGATCTTTGGTCTTAGGGATTAAACCAACATGGCTGTGATTTATTTTTTTTAACTCCCTATCACCATTAAGGTAAGACAAGCATAAATGTTTTATATCCTCCTAATGTATGCCAAAATTTTTGATAAAAAGTACGGACATACCATAGGGTCTAGGTGCTTTGGTTGGGTGTATATGTCTAATAGCCAGCATCTCCTTTACTTTAAATTCCACACGTAAAGTTTGTTCGTCTCTTGTGATACTCGAGCTGCCACTAACCCAAAGACCTCTTCAAAGGATGACGTGCTTTTAGAGCCAAATTGTCTTCCTTATTACCCCTCCCCCATGTATGCCATCTTCCTCCGTAGCCTAAGTCTTCAAGACCACCATCAGTTAGAGCCTCTCTAAATGCGACCATCTGACTTTCTTTGGGAGGAAGTCTCCCTTCTTTCTCATACTACCAAAAGAATTTTAAATTGTATTCATTGATTCAAATGTTCTTTCCCATCATAATTTTGAAAGCCTAAAACCTTTTAATTTAATGTTACATTCAAAATTAAAAAAAAGGATAGAGTAAATTTAGGTTACAAAATAAAGGTTTTTATATGTCTAACTATAACTACAAGATTAATTTTCTCACCACTTTTATTGAATCCTTTTGAAGGATTTAGTTTTAGACACATATTAGTTGTAGAAAATTATGTACCGAGTTCAGAAAGTAATTTCTAAAAGTAATTAGAAGTTCCTCTAAAAAAATGTATATTGATATGATTATATCACATTTCTCTCGCTATTATCTGATTCATAATACTTAGTTAGCCTATGAAAATGTGTTAATTCGAAAAGGTTTAAAACTTATAGGTGTCTTATAATAATTTTACAATACTACCGGGCAAAACAAGTTAAAAATCTGAAAGTAGCAAGGCATGCCCAACCGATTTTGGCTGTAAGCAATAATTGCTCTTTTTATTTCTTAGGACAGACAGTATTACGAGCAATTTTTCTTACATTTAATTAATTATTTTATACATTCGCTTTTATTTTAAAAATTTAAACGAATGTGGAGTTTAAATTTTAGTTAAATTAATTTATATAATTATTTTTTAAAAATTGATATTAAAAATATTAAAAATTTAAAATTTAATATTTATTTGTTATTCTCTGCGATTTCCTATATAATCAAAAAATATAAATGAAGGTATTAAAATTTTTATGAAATAAGAAAATATGTGAAATGAGTGTATTAAACACATTACATATAGAAAGAGAGTTTTTTTTTTTTAATATTTCATAATTGCTCTTTCTATTACTAGTATAGAAAGAAAAATCATTGTTCCTCTGCAGCATAAAGAGAAGTGAAATCCTCAGATTCATTTGATGCTTTATTAGACGCTTTATTTGGTGATGTTCTTTAACCTGTCCTCCACCTGCTGTTTCCAGCATGATCACCCGTTGTGAATGTGGATAGCTACTAGCTGGGCCCATCCTTGCCATCAATTACTCTCCACGAGCTTTCATTATTTGTGGTGCTCCTTTCTTTGACCTCTGGGGCATTGGCTAAAGCTCCCTCTAGAAAGAAGAATCTTTCTTTTCCTTGTTGAATACCCTCTAAAGCAAAACAATTTTCTCAAGTTTTTAGACTTCTAAAACCATGGAGCAATCAAACCCAAGGCCTCATAGAGTATTACTATCCGCGCCTGCCCATCTCATGCCCGTTATTGAGCTTGGCAAACGCTTTGTCACTTGCCAGGACGTTAAAGTTACCATTTTTGTTGCTTCTTTTGTCGAAATAGCTGCAGCGGAATCGCGGATGGTCCCGGGTACGCATAGTACTAATCTCTTTGATGTCATTCACCTCCCACCTGCCGACATTTCCAACCTTGTTGACCCTAGCGATAAGGGACTTGTATCACTTTCAGCGACAGTGCGTGTAGTCAAGCCAGCTTTTCGGGCTGCTATATCGGCTTTGGAGACTCCAGTAACTGCTCTCATTGTTCACGTCTTTGCAATAGATTGTTTAGGAATTGCGGATCAGCTTAAGATTCCAAAATATGTTTTTGTCTCAACAAATGCATGGTTTCTTGCTCTGCTCATATACACTCCGATCCTGGAAAAGGAAGTGGAAGGAGAGTATGTTGATATGAAGGAACCATTTGTTATTCCAGGTTGCTCGTCAATTCGAGCTGAAGAGTTGCCAGATCCGATGTTCTTCAGAACAAAAGCAAATTATCATGAATTTCTGAAATTTGGCGTCGAGATTCCACAGGCTGATGGGATTTTGGTGAACACATGGGAAGAACTGCAGCCTAAAACACTAGCTTCTTTGAGAGATGGTAACCTCTTGGGTAGTGTTGCTAAGGCACAAATATTCCCAATCGGCCCGAACAACTCCGAGGGCTCACCAGCACTTAAAAACGAGTTATTTGACTGGCTGGACAAGCAATCTACTGACTCTGTACTTTACATATCTTTTCGAAGTATGGGAGGGCTCTCACTTGAGCAAATGACGGAATTAGCTTGGGGTTTAGAGTTGAGCTAGCAAAGATTCATCTGGGTAGTGCGACCACCTACACAAAAATCAGGAAGCGGCGCCGGCCCCAAGTTTGGGAACACTAGTGATGATATTTCAAGTTACTTGCCAGAAGGGTTCATTTCCAGGACCCGAGAACGGGGAGTGATTGTTCCACAATGGGCTCCGCAAGTGGAAATCTTGAGCCATCCATCGTGTGGAGGGATTTTCACACATTGTGGTTGGAATTCAGCTATAGAATGCATTACCAATGGATTGCCAATGATCGCTTGGCCACTGTACTCTGAGCCGAGAATGAATGCTACATTGCTGACACAGGAGATTGGCGTAGCTGTTCGATCAGAAACAATACCATCCAAGGGTGTTGTGAGGAGGGACGAGATAGAGAAGATGGTGAGAAAAATTTTTGTGGACGATGCTGGGCGTCAAATGAGGGCCAGAGTCAGGGATCTGAAACTTAGTGCACAGAAAGTTTGGAGCAATGGTGGTTCTTCGTATAATGCATTAGTTGAAATGGTCAAACATTGCCAGAAAAGCCTATAGAGACGTTTGTTAGTGTTAGACCTCTTTGGTGATTTATGTAATAAATAATTTCAATTGCCTTCATGCTTTTAGTCACTTTATGTTATCAATAAAATTATCAATAAAATAAAATTGTTCTTTCTTTTCCACTCTCAATTAAAAATATATTTCACCGCTGGCGCTGTTTCCAATTCGCTTCTAGTTGCCCATAATTTTTTATTGCATAGACTTAAACTTGCTCGGGGCTATATCTCATATATATATATATATATAAAATTAATTAATTTTCTTTTAATATTAATTTATACATTTTAATTATATCAAAATATATTATATTTAAAAATATTTTTATATCAAATTTGATATCGAATTATTTTTATTGATTACGATTGATTTTGATAAATTTCAGTAAATTAACTTGTTTGGATCGATAGGTAAATATAAAACTTATTTTGTAATTATTTATTTATTTTTTGTTATATGATTATTTTTAATTTAGTAAAAATAAAATTAATTAAAAAAATAATCTTTAAAATTTATAAATATTTCAATTGCTTTAAAAAAGTAATTATATTTACTTAATAAAATCAAGGTTAATTTTTTTTCATATTTTTTTATTTTAATATTTGTATAAAAATATTTATTTAAATATCATATAATCAAATTAAACATTTAAAAATATAATGAAAAATTTATGATATTATTTTTATATTTTTAAATTTATTTATTTGATTTTTGAAGATATTGTATATTTATTTTGTAGATTATTAATGGTATTATAATGTACAAATTCATATATATTTATAGAAATATTTATACTAAACCAAAAAATATTAAAAGTATACCAAAACCACTTATATTGGTATATACCATATTTTTAAAGAAAACTGAAATATTATCTGGTATGGTATTAACAACCTTGATATACATATAGATGTGCATAATTTATGTGTAATTTTTATTTTTAAAAATTTAATTTAATAAATAATTTTTTATATTATGATAATAATGATAAATACTAATGATTGAATTTTAATTTTGTATAACATACGTAGAATTTGATAATTTTTTATATAATTTTAAATTGATAATATTTGATAAAATTTGATAACTTTTGTTAAAAGATAAAAAATCTTCGATAAAATTTTGGTAACTTTTAATATAATTTTAGTATTTTTCAATATTAATTTAGCAACTTATAATATAATTTTTGTAACCATTGATACAATTTTATTAATCTTTGATAAAATTTTTTTAGTCTTTTAATGTAATTTTGGTAACTTATAATGTAATTGTGGTAATTATTAATAGAATTTGTGTCATTATATATTTAACAATTTATTCAAATATATAATTTTTTTACTAAATTTTTTTATTGAGTAAGTTCATTTTTTATGATAAATTTATTCTAACCTTTTCATATGAAAGCTCTAGCTTGGTTTCTACTAGTAACCAAGGTTAGATTTCTAAAAACTTTAAATATAAAAAATTGTTAATAATTAAAAAATTAAGTTATTAATGATTTACTACTGTATTAATAGTGAATTACTACTAAGTTATTAATGATTTATTACTAAATTATCAATGATTTACTGTTAAAATATAAATGATTTATTACTAAACTATTGATGTTTTAGTACTATATAACTAATCATTTATTATAAAGTTATAGTTGATTTACTACTAAATTTTATTAATGATTTAATACAAAGTTATTAATAATTAAATAATTTACTATTAAATTATCATTTATTTACTGCTATATTATTAGTGATTTCCTACTAAATTATAAATTATTTACTATTAGTTATTATACATTTATTACTATGTTATCACTTATTTACTGCTACATTATTAGTGATTTCTTACTAAATTATAAATTATTTACTATTATGTTATTATACATTTATTACTATGTTATCATTTATTTACTACTTAGTTTTCAATTATTTACTACAAAATTATCACAAATTTGATTTGTTACTAAATTATCCTCACTGCTAAGTTATTATTGATTTATATTAAACTATCCATGATTTACTATTTAGTTTTCGTCGATTAACTATTAAGTTATTGATGATTTACTATTAAGTTATATTGATTTACTTTTATGTTTTTAATGATTAATTATTAAATTATCATTGATTTACTACTAAGTTATTTATGATTTACTAAGTTTATCAATTAATTACTATTAAAATGAAATTGATTTACTAATTAAGTTGTCACTAATTTATTATTAATTTATCTTTAATTTATTACTAAGTTATTAATAATTAACTACTAAGTTATTATTAAAAAAAATAAATTATCACTTATATTTTATTAAGCTATCCTTATTTTTTAATATATTACTATTCATTTACAACTAAGAAATACGAAGTTTAAAAATCCATTAAAAATATATAAGATAATTTTTTATATAATAATATTATTACTTTATTCATATTTAGAAATTTTTTATTAATTTTTTTATTGAATAAGTTTATGATAGATTTATCATAATCCTTTAAGATAAAAGTTCTGGCTTTATTTCTGCTAGTAACTAGAGTGTAATTCCTAGTAACTTCAAATATAAAAAAGTTATCAATGATTAATAATTAAGTTATCATTAATTTACTACTATATTATTATTAATTTACTACTGAGCTATTACTACTAATTTATAAATGATTTATCATTAAATTATAAATGATTTACTATTAAATTTTTTATAATTTACTACTGAATTATTAATGATATATTATAAATGTATAACTAATTTGTAACTAAATTATTAATATTTTATTACATATTATTAGTGATTTACTACTAAAGTATCAATTTACGATAAGTTAACAATAATTTATTATTAAGTTAATGATTTACTACTATATTATTAAGTATTTTTTGTGGGAATAAGTTTAAGGAAGGAAAACTTCCACAATTCATCACATGGCTTAGAGAGGACTTACTACTATGTTATCATTGATTTTTTACTTAATTTTTTATTATTTATCATAAAATTATTACTGGTTTACTACTAAATTATTAATAATTCACTACCAAATTATCACTTATTTATATTAAAAGGTTAATGTTCTAAATGTCCCTTAAATTATAAGAAATGATCAATGTGGTATCTGAATTTAAAATTTTTTTGATGTAATACCTAAATTATTAATTTGTTAACTAATATGGTACTCGTTCCTAATATGGCTAACTTTAGATGATGACATGGCGCACAAACAACCCTCCAACTATTATATTAGTTAACAAATTTATAATTTAGATGCCATATTACAGATTTTTAAAATTTAGATATCATATTGAACATTTCATTATAATTTAAGGGCCATTTGTAAAATTAATCCTATATTAAATTATTCATGATTTACTATTAAGTTATTACTGATTAACTATTAGTTATTAATTGTTTACTACTAAGTTATATTGATTTACTCTTAAGTTTTCAATTATTAACTACTAAATTATCAATTCTATACTATTAAGTTATTATTGATTTACCATTAAATTATTTATAATTTACTATTATCAATTAATTATTATTAAATTAAAACTGATTTATTATTAAATTATCGTTAATTTTCATTAAGTAATTATTGATTTATTACTAAATTATCAATGGTTAATTATTAAGTTATCATTTTTTTAATAAGTTATTATTAATTTATTACTATATTGTTATACATTTACAACTATATAATAATTGATTTACTATTAAGTTATTATGCATTTACTATTATGTAATTTCTGATGTAGTATTAAGTTATCAATTATTGACTACTAAATTATTATTAATTGACTATTAAGTTATCACTAATTTACTACAAAATTATTCATGATTTACTGTTAAGTTATCATTGATTAATGATTAAGTTATACTGATTACATTTAAGTTTTCAATAGTTAATTGCCAAGTTATTAATTATTTAGTTGTATGTTATCATTGATTTGCGTATATCTAGAAAGAAAGTAACCACAATGTATGCTATATGATATAATTTGTAAAATAGAGAAAGAAAATAAGAAAATGTTAAAGTATAGACACTTGAAAAGTAATGAGTAAATACTCTTAATTTTTTATTCGTAGTTTAATACATAATAATAAGTTAAACTCATTAGTTTTATTATAATGCAAGTATTAAAACTAAATTAAATAAATATGTATAATATATTAAGTCAATATTCCTATGATATTCTTCAAATTTTTTAGTTAATGGTAAAATACTATATATTAAGGTAAGATTTATAAAAATAAAATTTATAAAATTAAATAGATAATAATTTTAAAAAATATTAAGTTCACAATAATTATATTCACATTTTTCTTCAAAAATTTCTTCTACTAAATTAAAAGATGATATATTCTCAATTCTTGATTCATTCTTATCACCATCATTTAAAATGACTTTCTTAATATTTTGATACCAACCAATTTCTCCATTTGAAAATAGTAAAAAAATATTATAAGGGTTTATAACAATCTAAATAATATTAACTCTATGTTGTTTCTTGAATAAGTATGAATTAAAATATCTCTTTTAAATGAAATATTTGAGTTATTTTCATCAACTCATATAGTAGCAACTTGTTCATCAAAATGACTTTCTTGGTTCTTTCTTATTACCATCATTTGAAATAACTTTCTTAATATTTTGATACCAACCAATTTCTCCATTTAAAAATAGTAAAAAAATATTACAAGGGGTCATAACAACCCAAATAATATTTAGTTCAATGTTATTTTTGTGAATAATAATAAACTATGATATTTCTTTCAAATGAAATATTTGAGTTGTTTCTGTCAACTTATATAGTAGTAATTTGGTTAGCAAATAAACTATTATAAATTCATTGATCTAAATTAATATTTTGTAATATGAATATCACAATTCTCTAAAAATATATATCATTTAATTTCTAAAAGACTTGGACATAAAGATTTTCTTATAGAATTATCATTTGTATCTCAATAACTTTAGCATTTTAATTTTTATTATGTTGTATTCTTATCTTATTTTGAAGTTTATTGTTGGTATCATAAAAGTATAGCTAAAATAACATGATTAATTAATTCAAACTTGAAACAATTCAAAACTTAAATTGAGTATACATAAATTTTTTACT